TGTAAGGAAGTTCATAAGACTCTATTGGCTTCCCAATTTTGCTCTTAGAATGTTGTAGATTTCGTCTATTCTTACATATGGATAGATACACGTTCTTTATTGGACTTGTTGATTAATGTTGATTTAGATAAAATTTACTTTTTATACAATTACATTAATCTCCTAGTGTTGGGTTTACTCTACTTTTTTAATCAAATCAGGTGAGCTGCTTTTTCAAATTACTTTCATAGTCCTTTTACAGTCTTTTGTGCTCACTTTAATTCATTTATGTTTGCTTTCATTTTTTATTTATTTCTGTTTTTTCTTTCATAAACTTTCACATATTATTCCTAATTACTGCCTTTTTGTAATAACATTTTCCCAATTTCGTTTCCTGTTACTTCACGACCATTTACATCATCATTTATTTTTGTTTTCAGTGGGACGAAGAACCTTCTGAATCTGCTGATGTATCTCCTGATTACATTAAGCTTGCTTCAACCTCATGTCGTGCTCTTCGCGAAAGATTGCTTCTCGACAGCCTAAATTGCCTTGATGAGGGGGCCGACTGGGAGCGTGCTGTTGAAGTCTGTGATACTCTTTGTCTGCTTTATAAGACCGTTGCTCCAAATTACGCCAAACTGGCAGATCTGCTTGTGAGTTCACGTGATGTAGTTTCGCCACCTACCTTATTTATTATTTTCTTGTGGAGTTTGTTCCGTTGTTGTTTTTGCTGCCCACAATGAATTCAAGATGTGAAATAATTTGACTTGAAATTAGTCCGTGCTTATATTTTACATATTAGCTATAATCAAGAGTTTACTGCGAACCTAGTTTGACAATAGATATTGTCTAGTACCCATAGCTACTAATTATTCAAATACTATCAGGGCATTTCCTTATCTACTGAGCCTTCAAGGTTTTGGTGCATTATTTTTTCATTCCTTTCGTTGACCGCTTATCTTATTCTCTCACTTCACTTTTTTTCTTTATTATTCCCAGTTTTCTTGATATTTTTATTTAAATTTTCTGAACCACTACATTGCTTATTCTTGAACGCTTATACTATAGCTTTACTTTGTTATTAGAAACGTATGCGAATTAGTAAATTATTGTTTAGTGAAATATATTATTTGACTAATTGATTTTCACTTTTCTTTATACATGCTGTATTGTTGCGTAAGCCTTCTCGTTTTAGCATACTATAGGGAGTAAATTGTCTTCCTTTTGTAATTCTTTTTATTATGCCCTGATGCAGACCCGAAAGGCACAACTCTTCCGCAAGATTGTCGCTAAATTTAGCCGCATGCCGCACAACTACTACTTGGTCAACTTTCTTGGCGGCAACTTTCCCTCTTTTGTCTCTGAGCACTTCGTTTATCGTACCACTGATACCCTTGCCGGCGTGCTACAAACTTTCCGCACCCAATTCCCTACTGCCAGCCTTCTCACCCAAATGCCCACAGAAAGTTTAGAACCTAGCTCTGATAAATGGTTTATATACGCAGCAGGAAACCTGATAGCTGAGATTAGGCTACCAAGCCATCTTGCTGGTAAATCTGTTAGCTCCAGAATTCGCAGTTACTATGCTAAAAACCAAGTACGAAGTTTTATCAGACGGCGACCAAAGCAGGAGGTGAATACACTTTAAAATCTATATCTTTATTTGTTTTATAATCACTTAAATTTTCAGAAAAAAACTGTTAAAAAAGTTCACATTTTTCTTTATAGATCGGTTTAATGAAAAGTTATATGACTTTATAGTACATATTTATTAAGCACCGTCCAAATATTGAATTTCCTGTTTCCAGGAAAATTTTAAAGATTGATATTTTGACTCACTTTCAGAAATTAGGACACATT